GTGAGAGTTTTTGTATCAGCTGAAGGAGCTGGCGATATTTTTCTTCCAATTCAAGAGCTCGAACTGTTACTACTTCTGATGCTTTCTGATGCATTGAAGTGACAACTGTAGAAAAAAATTAAAGAAAGGAAAAGAAGTTGATTGATTGTAAATGTAAAGACAGGTTTATGTGGTGTTTATGGTTAGAACATCAAATGTATGTATACCTGTGCTTGTGCTCCAAGCAGTTGCTGTTAAAGTTGATGATGCTTGCACAACTTGAGCTCCTGTATATATAAAATATTAGTTATATTGTGAATTGGATTTGAGTAGTTTACATGTAACTATGGTTGCTTTTTTTACTTTTAATGCACTTTACCTGTTTGAGTAGTTTCTGTGGTTTTAGATGCTTCCTCCTTCACTTTTTCTTCATATTCCTGAGCAATACTGTCTTCTCCTATTACTTTGAGTCTCAGTGCCTCAACCAGTTGATTGTGACTAGCCCCTGGTTGACCATTGAGCCAAGCACGAAACATCTGGGTTCTTTTTTCTTCTATATCTGATCTCTCTGAATCAATGTCTTGCAGCTTTTTGTCATCAACTTCTAAGATTAAACCCAACATGTGCCATCTGTCTGTCCTTACTATAGCACACACAGTCTTCAGATCTGGTTTTCCATTCATAACTGAGCTTTCAGTATCTATTGAACACCAAACTGTAGTTTAGGAGGAAAAGGGCGTATCTGCATGCGTATGCTAAAATAGAGTGTATTCATTGTTAGTCTGTATTCATAAATCATTGTTTGTTTAATGACCACGTTATCACAATCCAACTTAGTCAGCTAAACTTGTTGTTAATGGCAAAAATAGAATAGATTTTTATTCTACAAGATTACTAGCAACATTTTTCCTAGTACTATATACTCTTGGTTTTTGTGCATAGCCCTTTTGTTTTGTAAGCATAATGTTGCTAAGAAAAGAATTGTTGCTTGACAATAAAACCAAGGCTTTTTTGCCTAGAAGAGGTAACAAAGCCTTGTAAATAGATTATAGCAAAGTTGCCTAGCACATGTTTGGCTTCAAATACAAATTCTTTGTTGCCTATATGGGCAACAATGAATTTAATGAATTTTTTTAGTGGGGACCGTCTTCCAGATTTATTTTTAGCTTTAGGAAAAAATTAGAATAAGTACATATGATTTTAAAACTTAATTGCATTTTTATAGATGTGTACCATTTCATTAAGAAGCAACATGTGGAGCATTTTTATGAAGCATATCATTCTCATACTGGCAAACACCATCCACTGTCAGTAAGAGGTAAGAGAGAGAGAGAGAGAGAGAGAGAGAGAGAATTGATTTTATTGTTATTATTATTAGGTGAAAAGAGAGAAAGCAAGGAGCAATCTAATGATGAACCATTGAGAAAGAAACTCTAAATCAAAGTTACTTCGTTTTATCTATTTATAAAATTTTAATCATGCATACATTTACATTGCATTCCACTTATGAAGGATGTTATGTATAATCATTGTCAGAAACAATAGTGCTTCGATTTTGTATTTTTAAAAATATAGTTTTTAATATGTAATGTACTGTATTAGAAACAGTAAAGTGCTCATATAGAGTAAGTATAAAATTAATCTTATTAAAATTACAATTGTTTTTTGACAGCTCATTCGCAAAATTGATATCCAACTAATTAATCATCTACAGGAGGTATATCATTTTATTATTATCGTTATTATTATAGTAAAATACAGGAATCTAGTATGGTTTATTGAGGTCAGAAGGTATAAACAAGGTATATACAATTACATTTTGATTTTATTATTAATTTCATTAGTTTGAGTTGCATACCTCAGACTGACCATTGTGACCATAAAAAAGAAAAAATATACACAATGATCAAATAACTAACAATTCTCACTATCCCCCTTTGTCTCCCTTAGCAGAAATCTGCTGCAACTAATGTCTTCTCTGACTCCCTGTTTTTGCTGAAATTTATGGCATAATAAATATGTAAGTAGTGGGTCTGGTTTGTGGGTGGAGTTAATGCTTTTACTAGACAGGAAATTTTGATGTGAGGTTTTGCT